CAGGTAATAAAAAGTGGGGTTGTGTTTGTGTGAAACAAATAGTAAGAACTTAATAAGTAATCAATAATCAAACTCAACTTTGGTTGTTATCAAGATAAGAGAAATAACTAGGGTATACGTGTTCCCCACAATCTCATAACGCAGTAATCCTAGTAATAGCAATCCTTTTCTAGTGTATTACATGCAAAGTGATAAGTTAGGTATCTCTAAATCCTTGGTCCGGCATCTAGAGAATTTCACCCCGCACCTTGGTCCGGCTACGTGTGTATACTTTACTAACCCTTACCTTTACTTCATATTAGACATCATAATCGATGTTTGGCTTAGTTATTACTTCGCACCAATCGACACTAGCCTATTAGATAGTATCACACTAAATCTATGTTGATAATTCTTTTCTTGTTAATTACCTCCTTGGTCCGGCAGGTAGTAACAAGGCGAGTTCTAACGTTGGCCACCGTTAAAAAGACTTCTAAACGAAAGAATTATCAATGCATGCAAAATACTAGTCAAGAATTGCTTATTTACTATTCATACTTTGTTAATCGATCATGGTTCCCACAACCCTAGTTGTGGGTTTAGTTACTCATATTGGCAAGAACACAGATCATAATTGTAGATGAAGAAATCATGAACTTACGTAAAGAGAATGATAAACCCAGAAATTTAACTTGAATATGCAAAGCCAAAATCTTCAAAAACAAACTTGGGAAATCAATAATTGCTAAAGTTGCAAATTAATCTCCAAAGTTACAAAGTAAAACTAGAATAATAATGTCTAACCCCCAAAAACGAGGTTTACATGTCCTATTTATAGAAAACAAAACCTAAATAAAAAAGGAAACAAAGTAAGGAAAGTTATGTTCAGGTATGCGTCTTCAATTCACGAGACCGACTTACGGACCGTCGATGGATCTACGGTCCGTAAGTCCCTTCCGTCAATCGGGACTTAGAAAATATTTCAGCTTCCAAAAATCAGCTTCTCTGAAGCAAACGACGGACCAGCAGTACGGACCGTAGATCGACCTATGGTTCGTTAATCCCCTCCGTAGCTCCATACTTAGAATCTTCAAAAATCAGGTACTGGAACCCTCGCAGTATCACTCTACGGATCAACAGTACGATCCGTAGATCGATCTACGGATCGTCAATGGGCACCGTGGTTCCACACTTAGTCAGATTTCCCTGAATTGTCCTCAATACCATGCCTGCTGATCTACGGTCATAACCTACGGACCGTGAATGGACCTACGGTCCGTAGATCACATCCGTAGATGCCCTTTTTCTGTATTTCCTTCAGCTATCTCTAAACTTCCGCGCCTGAACACCTTTCCTGCAAAACATGATAAAAACACATAAAAACCAATATAAAAAGGCCCTAGACACACACAACTTGTAAGTGAAATGTATTAGAAATACCGTAAACTCACGGTATATCAGTTACAATATCTTTCCCTTGGGAACGTTCGTCCTCGAATGAGATTACTCTTAGTAGGCAATGGGTGTAATATCTAACATTCAACTCAAACACCCAACAAACAAATCTAGCATATTTAGTATATCAATTAAAGAGTACTAAGAAGAGAATTAGTACCTTGATCTGGAATTTCTCTTGGCTCAAAGAGATATGGATATCTCTTCTTCATATCCTCCTCAGTTTCCCAAGTTGCTTCCTCAACAAACTGATTTCTCCATAGAACTTTGACTTATGCTAATTCCTTGGTCCTCAACTTACAAATTTGGCGATCTAGAATTTGAACACGAATCTCGTTATAAAATAAGTTATCCTTATTACCAATGACTTCAGTAGGTATGATAAGTGAATGATCGCCCATGAACTTTTTCAACATAGAGATGTGAAATACCGAATGAATCGCTGCTAACTCTTGGGGTACCTCTAACTCATAAGCTACGTTTCCAATCCTCTTGGATATTCTGTAAGGACCAATATATCGGGGACTAAGCTTCCCCTTCTTACCAAATCTCATAACACCCTTCATGGGTGAAACTTTCAAATAGACACAATCATCTACTTCAAACTCTAAGTATCTTCTCCTAACATCTGTGTAGGATTTCTAACGACTCTGCGCTATTTTCAATCTCTCTTGAATAACCTTCACTTTTTCCATAGCTTGATGCACTAAGTCAAGTCCTATCAACCCAGATTCACCAACTTCAAACCATCCAATAGGAGATCTGCATCTTCTCCCATAAAGAACCTCATAAGGAGCCATTTGGATGCTAGAGTGGTAACTATTGTTATAAGCAAACTCTATGAGAGGTAGGTGATCATCCCAATTACCTTTGAAATCAATCATACAAGCCCTCAACATGTATTCTAAAGTATGAGTAGTGCGCTCTACTTGACCATCAGTCTGAGGATGAAAAGTAGTACTCAAGTTCACCTTTGAACCCAAACCTTTTTGGAATGACTTCCAAAATTGTGCAGTAAATTGTGCACCTCTATCTGAATAATCGACAGTGGAACTCCATGAAGTCTAACTACCTCTTGGATATAAAGCTTAGCATAATATTTGCTGAATGGGTAGTCTTTACCGATAAAAAGTGGGTTGATTTAGTCATTCAATCTACAATCACCCAAATAGAATCATGTTGCCTGCGAGACTTTGTTAAACCTGTGATGAAATCCATATTATCATCTCCCACTTCCATTCCAGAATCTCTATATTCTGATCCATACCACCAGGCCTCTGGTGTTCTACTTTAACTTGTTGGCAATTTGGACACTTAGCAACAAACTTTGAAATGCCTTTCTTCATACTATTCCACCAATAGACTTCTCTTAAGTCACGGTACATATTTGTGGAACCTGGATGGATAGAATATCCGGAGCTATGAGTTTCTTCCATAATTCTTTCTTGAAGTCCAACCACCCTTGGTACACACAATCTACCTTGGTACCTCAATACACCATCTCCCCCTTGTTCAGAAGCCATTACTTTTTGCTTCTGAACATTTTCCTTCAATACAAGCAAAAATGGATCTTGGTCTTGTTTCTCTTTAACTTCTGACACTAATGATGATTCGGCTCCATTCATCACCACTACTCATCCTTCTGTCGAATATATTAAACGAACCCCTAATCGCGCAAGTTTATGCACATCTTTTTCTAACTCTTCTTATCTTCCTCAAAATGGGTGGTACTACCCATAGACAATCTACTCAAGGCATCAACAACACCATTAGCCTTACCTGGATGATAGAGAATACTTATGTCATAATCCTTGAGTAACTCTAACCACCTTCTCTGTTTGAGATTAAGCTCTTTCTGACTAAACACATACTGAAGACTCTTGTGATCAGTGAACACATCTACATGGATACCATAAAGATAATGACTCCATATTTTCAAGGTAAATACTATGGAAACCAACTCTAAATCATGGGTTGGGTAGTTCCTATCATGAACCTTAAGTTGTCTGGAGGCATAAGTTATAACTTTGTCATTCTGCATCAACACAGAACCCAATCCAACTGTGGACGCATCACAATAAACTACAAAACCTTGTTTACCTTCTGGTAAGGTCAATACTGGGCAGTAGTCAACCTCTTTTTCAATTCCTGAAAGCTTTTCTCACAAGCTTCGGACCATTGAAACTTAACTGTTTTTTTGAGTTAACTTAGTCAAAGGAGATAAAATAGATGAAACTTCCTCAACGAACCTTCTATAATAGCCAACCAATCCCAAGAAACTCCTAATATCAGTTAGAGATGTGGGTCTAGGCCAATTTTGCATTGCCTATATTTTCTGAGTATCAACTCTAATTCCATCATCAGAAACAATGTGGCCTAAGAATGCCACAGACTCAAGCCAAAATTCACAATTAGAGAACTTAGCATATAACTCATTATCCTTGAGAGTTTGGAGAACTATTCTGAGATGACTAACATGATCTTCCTCACTCCTCGAATAGATTAGAATTCCATCAATGAACAAGATGACAAACATATCTAAATAAGGTTTTCATACTGTGTTCATAAGGTCCATGAATGTTGCAGGAGCATTGGACAAACGAAAGGACATAACTAGGAACTCATAATGACCATAGCGGATCCTGAATGCTTTCATAGGGATATCATTTTCTTGTACTCTCAACTTATGATAGCCAGATCTGAGGTCTATCTTAGAAAAACAAGTGGCGCCCTGAAGTTGCAAAAAGATCATCAATTCTTGGAAGAGGATACTTATTCTTGATATTAACCTTATTCAACTGACGGTAATCTATGCACATATTAAGAGAACCATCTTTCTTTCTCACTAATAAGATCGGATCGAATAAAACCTTTCTTTGAGAGATCTTCCAGCTGCACTTTTAACTCTTTCAACTTTGTTGGAGCCATTCTATATGGAACAATAGAGATAGGACGAGTATCGGGAAGAATATCTATACCCAAGTGTATTTCTCTCTTAGGAGGGACTCCGGGTAGATCATCTGGAAAGACTTTTGGAAACTTGCTAACAACTTAAACTGACTGAATAGGTGCTGTCTCAACACTAGAGTCATTAACTTGGACTAAGTGATTAACACAGCCCTTGGAAACTAACTTTCTCACCTTAAGGTACAAAATGAATCGACCCTTAGGCACTGCTGAACTACTCTTCAACTCTATAGTTGGCTCATTAGGAAACTGGAACTTGACCACTCGAGTTCTACAATCGACTGATGCATAACAGGCATGAAGTCAGTCCATACCTAGAATGACATCAAAATCTACCATGTCTAACTCAACTAAATCATCCATAGTGCTCTTGTGATTGACGGAAATGGTACAATGAGATAGACTCTCTCATCTAGAATAGACTCACCAACAGGTGTAGAAATACTGAAGGGTTCAAGAACTTGCTCACGAAGAACATCAAAATTCATTGCAACATAGGAGATCACAAAAGATAAACTCGTTCTTGGATCTAGCAAAGTATAAACATCATAAGTTAACACTTTGATCATACCAGTGAAAACATCTGGCGAATTATCTTTCTATTGGCGACTAGTGATAGCATATAGGCGGTTTGCTCCTTCGCCAAACCCCGAAGTAGCTCCTCTAGGTGCAGCTCTGTCTGGTTGAGCAACTGTAGAAGATTGGTCTCTATTGCCCCTATTTCCACTGCCCTGCCTGTTCTTAGGGCACTCTTTATTGAAGTGACCCTCTTGACCACACTTGAAGAAAACAGTGGAGCCATCACGACACGCTCTGGGGTTATTTCTACCACACTTAGCACATGTAGGAGCCCAGTTACCTCCTTGTGCCACCCTACCTTGATATTATGCAGGTCTAGCTCTGAAATGTTGTGAATTCTGACTATTGTACACTTTTGTTCCTTGGTGCAGGTGCACTAGAAGATGATGGAGCATGTCCCTTTTGCTTTTGTTGGAAGGATTCCTGGTTGGCATTACTTTTCTGCTGCCCGAACTCATTCCCAGATGTCTTAGCCTTTTTGTTTCTAAATTCTTCCCTATCCCTCAGCTTATCCTCTTCAACCTGTTGCGCATGAATCATCAGCCTCGCTATGTCCATATCACCTATTAGCATCGCAGCCTTACCTTTCTTACTCGATAGATGAGACAACCTAGCAACAAAAATATACATCCTACTCCTCATATCTGTAACCATTTTTGGGGTATAACGGGACAGTTGGGTGAACTTAAGGCTATACTCATGTAGACTCAGAGATTCCTACTTAAGATTAAGGAATTCTCGTACCTTTGCTTCTCTCAGTTCCCAAGGAAAGAAACCTTCCAAGAAGGCCTCCTCAAACATAGCCCAACTCATATTCAATGCACCCTCAGCTCTACCCTTCTTCCATTGATCGAACTAGATTCTAGCGACACCCTTTAGTTGGTATGTAGCTAATTCCACTCTCTCAACATCGGTGACGTGCATAATCTCAAAAACCTTATGAAGTTGCTCAACGAAGTTTTCCGGATCCTCAGTGATACTTGAACTACTAAAGTCTGGAGGATTCATCCTTAAGAACTCTCATATCCTTGATGTATTAGCCACATCCTGTCGAACTCCTCTCTGTCCAACTTGGTTGGTCACAACTTGACTAAGCATTCAGATAGCTTCCCTAAATTCAGCATTGGTGACCTTTCCTTGGGGTTGCACTTCTGGTGCATTAGGTACCCCTTGTTCCTCAACATTCGTCCTAATGGGACGACCTCTAACAGCTCTTCCTAGAGGCATGATCTGAAAGATATGTACAAGCACGAGTTAGAAAGGAACTTGTATAGAGATAAACTACATCTCCCGAAATGAATATGAAAGAAGTGAGATAGTTCCTAAATGTTGCAGCCTCCTAATTATAGATGTGTCATGTTTCACACCGATAACTAGGACTCTACAGACACGGCTTCATAGACTCCCCAGGACTCTTGAACTCTGTGTTCTGAGACCAAGTTTGTCACGCCCCGAACCTACACCCTGGGCATGGCGGGCACTCAAGAACCATTGTTGGCCCCAAGTAAACCATTGGCCTAGCTAGACTCTCAGCGGATGACTTACTCAATAGAAAATGTACTTAAATACAATCTTAAATAAATTGTCTAAATAGATAAACTAAGAATGTTTACAAATAACATTCAACTTAGCCAAAGTGGCAACTCAAGTCTTATATTCAAAACAACTGAAATAGCAAGATGACTGAACTAATAACTAACTATCTATGAAGCCTCTAAATACTAGGAGGGATGTCGGGACAAGACCCTCGATCATCCTAACAACTGAAATAAACAAATCAATAAAACAAAACATAACCAAAGGGATCCTCCAGAAAGCAAGGAGGCCCATCAACTAACTCTGAGTGCTCGACTGGATCAACGAGGCGCTGGATGCTGATCCTGATTACCAGTATCTGCATCATAAGACGATGCAGGCTAAATGGCATCAGTACATTGAATGTACGAGCATGCGAGAGGAAAACTAAACTTAACATAAGCTTGAACTGAATTATGAAAGAAACACTTACCTCAGCTTTACTCAACTCATGGATACTTAACTCAATGCATAAATAAACAACAGTAAAGATGCAGTTTATATAAAGCATTTAAACAGTAGGTAGCAACTCAATATATTGAAAAATACAATAGCAACTTAATGTATATTTATATAATAAAGTAATAAACTTCTGTGAGAGTTTCTCTAACCGACAACTATCACTATGAGCTATGTGATGGTACAATGTCTCGCCCACACTGCCAGAACTGTCCTATAACTTTCCAGGATATAGAACGCCTCATCTAAGTGGATCCACTAGTCTATGCTAAAAAGCATTAAGCAATCATATAAAAAGTATGACCCTTTCTACCCACGATGGCTACATGGTTTATGGAGACTTGAGCTTTTATGAACTCGTCCCCATATCGGTGCTCAATACTACTCCCAAAATATGCCCAGCTCATATGTTTAAAAACATAACTCCTTCTATGGTTTGAGATTATTACTCAAAAACTAGCTTAAAAGCTCTGTTGGAAATCGGTGTTTTCTTTCTTGTTTAAATGTGAAAATATTTTAACTCTTGGGAATACTTAGTTCCCATATAATCTTTTGAAGAAATGAACTTTACTCTTACTCTTACTCAATTCAGTGCTTAAGTCTTAAAACATGTTTAAAATGTTTGTAAAAGACTTCTTAAAATGACTCAAAGAACTCTCAAGACTCGACTCTCAACTCTACCTTGAATTTGAATTATGAATTCAAGGTTATGATTTGTGATAGGAAAGATCTTATGATGTTTAGGAGTGCTTTTAGATAGTTAAACGTGAGAAACAATCAAGAAATCATTGTCTCGAAGCAAGTCTGCGACGCGGAGATGCATTTAAATATTTGATCACAAAATTAATTTTAAAGTAGAGGAGTTTGTTTCCTCTCCACGACGTGGAGGTGATTTTTGTGCACTGGGGAGCAAGTTCGCGACGCGGACTTGTGTGCCAAAACCTGCTCGACTTTTTCCTTCTTCATCTTCATGTATACCACTCTTCTCATTGTTATACTTACTTCCTCAAAACTTAGCTCAAATCGATAGTTGATCTCAAAGGATTCACAATTGAACTCAAAGACTTTCTTGAATTCTACTCTTAACTCTTTCTTGAATTAGAATTATGAATTATGAATACAAGAGTTCATGATACAAAGGATCTCGATGATAGTGTAGACTCATTAATACATTCTACTCACTCTCATGCTCACATACTTGAGTCTTTAAACAAGTTATTATAAATTGTAGAAGACTCCTCAAAAGACTCGAAGGGACTTTCTATCATGCCCTGAGCCTACATCCTGGGCGTGGCTAGCACTCGAGAACCATTGTTGGACATAATCGAACCCTTCGCCTGGCTAGACTCTCAGTGGAATACTTACTCAACAAAAAATGTACTTAAATACAATCTTAAATAAACTATCTGAATAGATAAATTGAGAGTGTGTAGAAATAACATTCAACTTATCCAAAGTGGCAACTCAAGTCTTATGTTCAAACAATTGAAATAGCAAGATGACTGAACTAATAAATAACTGTTTATGAAGCCTCTAAATACTAGAAGGGATTTCGAGACAAGACACCCCGATCATCCTAACAACTTAAATAAACAAAACATAACCAAAGGGATCCTCCGAAAAGCAAGGAGGCTCACCAACTGACACTGAGTGCTCGACTGGATCAACGCGGACTTGCGTGCCAAAACCTGCTCGACTTTTTCCTTCTTCGTTTTCCAACCCCAATTCGCCAAAATTCTATTCTTTTTCTCAATTTGTCTTTAGATTGAAACACCTAGTATATGTACACAAGATTCTAACTTAAAACAACTCTAACAATGGACATTAAACTCTCAAGAACTCCTCAATCTCATCCCAAATTCAAGAACGAAAGCAATTCAAGAACACAACTCAAGAACATCAAATTCTCAATCTTTTAGGACGAAAATCAAACTGAAATAAACATGTTTGGCATGTGAGTTAACGAACCTAATGCTATGTGAACTCACATACCTCGTAGGGTCGAATCCTTGGAGAAATTCGAAATCAATTCTTCAAGAACAGGACGAATTTAGACCTTTTCTTCTTCTTTCTCCTCTTGAGTTCTTTTCTATAAAACCCTAGCGTGATATTGCAATTGTGTAAACTGAACCCATTCAGTTTAGACTCTAATTAATTCACTAAAAATGAATTAAACCAATTGGGTATGGAAAAGACTAAAATATCCTTTAAATCCGATTTTGACTTTCCTTATCTAGACAGCCCAACTTCAAAAGGGCATACCTCCCTCATACAAACTCAAAATTGAGCAAACTTGGTGGCGTTGGAAAGATAATTTAAAGACCTTTCCTGAGCTAGAAGTTATGGTTGTTTGAAGTTGACCCAAAACTCATACTTAGCTTAACTTTGTCAAATTTTCTAGATTTAATTATTTCCAAAAATGGTTTCTTTCTAATTCTAGTTCTTTCTAAATCTTTCAATTTGCGAGGTGTTACACTTTCTCAAAATGTTCAAAAAGAACTCTCAAGACCTAACTCTTAGCTCTACCTTGAATTTGAATTTATGGATTCGAAGTTATGATTCATGTTTATGGATGATTTCTAGATGTTTAGAAGTCGTTTAGATTAGTTAGAATCAAAAGGAAGTGTTAGTACACTTTAGAAGGACTCAGACAGGCTAAACGACTGAAAATGGGTGGGGGTAACCCAGGCGCACTGTTGGCGCGGGGTGACTGCTCCTGAATATTAGAGACTGGGTTCTGGCGCACTGCTAGTGCACCGCCCTAGATCCTCTTGTGCATCAAGAGAACATCGCCCCAGACCTTCTGGCACATCAGGGGTGCGTCACCGTAGACCTTCTTGCGCATCGGGGCTCGTCGTCCGATCCCCTCCCCAGAACTTTTTGATGAATATTTCTTCTCATTTTTTTACCTTAATTAGATTAGAATTGATTCTTTTTCTCAAATTCTCCTTAGATTCAATTACCCAATACATGTACATGAGAATCTACTAAAAAAACTCTTAACATGACACGAGTATCTCAAGAACTTATCAATCCCATCCTAGTTTCAAGAACGAAAGCAAATTCAAGAACACTAATCAAGAACATCCAACCTACGACTTTCTAGAACGAAATAAAGCTGAAAGAAACATGATCGGTGTGTGAGTGAACGAACCCAACACTATGGAAGCCATGTCTCTTAGGGATCAAACTCTTGGTGAAATCCGCAACGAAACCTAAAGAACTTTACGAAATCTTGACTTTTCTCCTTTTTTTCTACTCTCCAACTCTTTTCTAAAACCCTAGCTTGTTTTAGGATTTGTAAAACTGAACCAAATCTGTTTAGACCCCTAAATATTATCAATTTTCAAATTAAATCTGATAGGGTAAGGAAAAGACCAAAATACCCCTCTTAAATTCGGGTAACTTTCCTTAAATAGACAGCCTGACTTCAAATGGGCATATATCCCTCATACAAGCTCTAAATCTAGCAAACTCGGTGGAGTTAGAAAGAGGACTCAGAGATCTTCTATTTGATATCTTGTGGGCCACCTAACTCATCATGTGCTGAAAGTTATGGTCGTTTGAAGTTGACCCAAAACTCATAACTTAAGCATAACTTGCAAAATTTCAGATTTTGC